TGGCGCAACACAATGCACCGGGACCCCGCGCGGCGCGCACCCGTCCAGAGGAAGCGCCGGCTGAGGGAAGCGCTGACGTGGAGCTCCCTGCGGTGCAGTGATGCAAGCGGCGCCGTGCAGACGGTGGGGACGGCGGTTTGGGTGCCCGTGACGCGGCGCGCCGCGCTCTCCCGCGGGGGCGCGGACGCAGCCACGACTCTCCCGATGTGGTGGCTGGTGCAATCTCCTGCACTCGGCGCTCACGCATGTGTGTGCGCTCTTGCTGCACGCGCCCTGCCATCCAGAACCAGTGCAATATGCCTTGACCACGCCCACACCCACACCTACACCCACGCCCACACACTTTCAAGCGTGCAGACATGCGCGCCCTCAGACTCATGCAGAATCACCTGACTCCACCTACCCGAGCACCCACAAACCTGCATCCACCCGTCCACCCCACCCCCCACCTGGCCGCTGACGTCATCGCAAAGTCGGCCACCGCGCTGCCAGTCCCGGGGGGGTTGTACAGGAAGTTGCGCAGCAGGTTGGGCATGAACATGGCAAAACAGACCTGCGGTGGTGTTGGCAGCGGAGGGTTGCGGCTCACGTTCAAGGAGGTGGATGTTCGGAGGCGTGCGACAGGCGCAGACCAGGCGGAAGGATTGGCGCGAGGCAGGACCCCCGCCCGCATTTTGTTGGTGGGGGAGTGCGGAAAGCGCGACTAGTCCCGAGCTGGTTTAGTTGCGCGGAGCTGGTGCGTAAGGTCGCACATCGCAGCTTCAGTGTAACCGCTGCAGGTGCCATGCCAGGGGTTTTGAAACGGGGTCAGCCGCGCTCGGCGCGCTCGCGAGTGCTGTGGGTGGGGGTGGGGTTTGATGCAGGGCCCAGCGGCGCCGCCCACCGGATCGATGAGGCAAAGGTGGGCCACTCTGTCCGGCCGTGACTGCAGCAGGCGGCTGGCGACCGCGGTGCCGTAGCTGTGGGCCACGACGCAGGCGGCCGCGGCGCCCTCCTGAGACAAGATGCCGTCCACCGCCTGCGTTTGTTGCGCGGGGATGGGCGGCATGCCGAGGGGCGTGTCTTGCCCCGCCGCTGTTACGAACGACACAACGAATGCACCGCGCCGACCCACCCCAACATCAACCCGCCGAACTGGGGAGAAAGAGATCGCCACAAACGGCACGCCCCGACAGACTGGACCCAAGTCAACAAGCCTTTGACCGCAAACCAAACCTTGTATGGCGAAAACCGCATCAAGGAGAGTCCACAGGCGGTTGACACTGAGGCCCTTCCCGTCCACCCCTAGTCCTGGACCGGTCCCGCTGCCCTGCCCGTTCGACCGCCTCCCATAGGGCCGGGCCCGATGTGTCACTGTGACGTCGCACCCCCACCCCTAAGCAGTCCCCCAAACCTCAAACGCCCACCCTGGCGGTCTCGTCCACCGAGGGGATCCAGTTGCACCACCTCATTGCGATGTGCTTGAACTCGACAGCAATCACGGGGCGGCCTGGGCAGGGCATGTCGGGCAGGGGGTTGCATGGGGCGATCGGAAACGGGTTGCATGGGGCGATTGAGCGCTCTCCCACGGCTGGGGTTTAGAGGGTTGAGGACTCTGCTGAATTCTCGGATGGGGTAGGGGGTGCAGCATGCGGCGTGCGGCACCGTCAGCTGTCGGCACGTGCCCAGACGGTCGCCACGACGGCCCGCGGCAAGACGCGCCGAGGCGGCTCCCCCTCATATCTTGTCCCCTAGACCCCCTAGCACCACCACCCACCTGTGGCGGCGAGGTTGGCGAGAAATGTGATGTAGGGCAGCAGCCCCATCCCCACGCCGTGAAGCAGCAGCAGCGGAACATCCTGCCCCTGCTCCTCCTCCCCCTGCTGCTGCCGCGCCTCCGCGCCGCCTCCCTCGCCGGCCCCCGCCCCGCCCGCGGCCGCGCCCGCCGCGTTGGCGCCAGTGCCGGCGGCGGCTGCCGTCCCCGGCCGCGAGTAGTATGTCAGCCCCATGCAGTCGCCGCGGCGGAACCCCATCGCGCGCAGGGACGCGTCGCGCAGCAGCGCGGCAGCTTCCATGGACAGATAGAAGCCGAGGGGGCGCCACATATGAGTCAGGGGCTCCCACAGGTGCCCCATGAACTTGAGGGACGGGTTGTAGCCCTGGAGGGATTGCAATTGATGACATCATCGGTGATCGATGGATGATAAAGTGAGTGAATTTTCTGTCAAGTGTGTGAACAACTGGTTAGGTGCCGCGCAAGGTGGTGGAGAACACTCGCTTTCTGCTGTCGCTGAGCTGGCGCCGCGGTCCCTCGACGCCACGTCGCACGTCGGCGAGGCACCCCCGCTGCACCCGTGCGACGGCCGCTGGGGCGCCCGCGGCCCCTGCCGGGCGCGATGCCATGTGCAAGCAGCAATCCCTTGGATGAGCACATCCGTTGAGGCACAAATGGGGCGCCGACGCCAACAAGGAGTGCAAGCATGGGAGGTCCAGTGCAGCGTCGACCCCAACATCCAAGGATCTAGCGCATCTGTCTCCGCACCTCCTCGATCTCGAGGTGCCAGATCTCCTCCAGCCGCGCCACCATGGCCTCCAGGTCACACCCCTGCCCGTCCCGCTCAACGTCATCCACCTTGCGGGGTGACGGCGACGGGTGCGGCCGCGGCGTCAAGGGAGTTGGATCGAGCGTCAGCGGGAGGTGCCAGGGCGGTGGCCGACACAAGGCAGGGCTCGCACCAGGAGCTGGGGGCTGGGTACGAGTCGGGCGGCGCCGGCGGCAGGTGCCGCTGCAATTGGAAGCGCGCTTGCTGCCTCGCGTGCTGCGGCGTGCGTTCAGCCCGTTGCAAAGACGCGTCGAGCCCCATTCCTGGTACCCAGGGCTTGCGATGCAGGCAGGCGCCCGCCAGGTGGGCGCCGCGTCGCCCCCGCTGACGCCCGATGACGTCACCGCACCTACCGTCTTGTAGAAGAATGCGTAGGCCAGCAGCTCGGCCACGTTGCCGCGCCGCAGCTCGCTGAAGGGGGCGTCCCTGAACCAGAGCGAAAGGAACGCCCGCACGTCCTCAAACTGAGGGGGGGCCGGGGGACAAAGGGGCAGGCGCACGCGTCAAGTTGAACTGCGCGAGGAGCAGCGGGGCGAGGGGCCACCTGGCGGCGGGGTGGCGGGACTCTGCTGGCGGCAACAGGAGGCGTCACGAATCCACCGATGGCTGCGTTGCTACCGCAACACCAGCCCCTTGCGACAGCTGTTGAGGCGACTGTGTCCCCAGGGCGCCCTGACGGACAACAAACACCACAGCGCGCAAGCGTCCCTCAGGAGCGTGAGGCCCATTCATGAGTGGTGCTGCACCCCATCCCCACGCCGCGCCCATGCATGCATGCTCTCAGCGCATGCATTTCTGCCACGGGGCACCTGCTTCAAATGCTCTGTCGCCTTTTCAAAGAATTCGAGGGGGCAGTAGTCAAGGGGGCGCTGGGGGGCAGCAACCGCCGAGGAGGATAGTATCTGGTACTTTTGGATGTAGAGCGCCGCAAAGACGAGCTCCCCGATCACGTATACGATGGGGGCGGCCAGCAGCAGCGGGAAGCAGGCCGTGCACATGGCGAACGCTATGACCAGCGCCGCGGCGCCCCCGAGCGCGGCACGCCACAAGAGGCCGTCGGCCGCGCGCCGCAGCTCGTCATCATCTGGGGCGGCCGCATACGCCGCTGCTCGTGCTGGCCCTGGTGCTGCATCTGCTCGGGAGCCAAGGTTATATTGCAAGTGGGCATGCGTCAGGCGCAGCTGCATTGCTGACACGCAAAGGAGCCGTGGCCATCAATGCAGAGATGCGCCGATAGGGCGGGCGGCCGCAAAGTAGGCCACACAATCCTTGATGCCGCGGTTTGGATGCGAGCCACGGCACGCATGTGCTTAGATTTTTCCTTTATATGCGCACCTTGGCCGAAGAGAGCCTGCATGCTGCGCTAGACAGCCTGCTGCGAGGACGTGGCCCGTGCTCAATCAAAGCATGCCTGCCGCTTCCACCCCGCGTATGTTGATAAGCAACGTTTTACAATTTGCAACCTACGGCTATTCGCAGCCCAACACGCGCAGTGGTCGACGCAAATAATGTTATGAGCCAGCGGAGGGTACCAAGAGGTGCGAAACAGAGATTTGAAGCAATCCGCGACGACAATGAGCAAATGTTAACGTGGAAAGCATGGCTGGGTAACCGGGTGACAACGTTTGAACGTCACTTGTTTGCGTGCTTGATTTACCGTGAGTAGAGACGTATGCATTTGTTGCATCCATACATGGAACAGGGCACCGATCACGTGCAGATCCCGTGATCTTGTATCCTAGTACCTAGATCGGGTGTCTTCACTGCCTGTGAAACGTCTCATCACGAGAAAAGCCCCAGCTCGTTGTGCGAAAACCATGCTGATGTGTAGAGGGTGGAGTGCTGCTTTCGCCTGCCCTGGGAGTGGCAGCTCACTGCAACCGCGCTCGCGCAAAGCGGCCAGCACACAAGCGCCCAGCAGCTCTGGCGCTGTGTCAGCACCCCGGTGGCCATCACGCTTTGGCTACAGGCTTGCCAGCCAATGCACAGCCCGCTCTTTTGAAGCGCGCGCAGATGCGCACGCCGCGGCAGCGGCAGAAGTGGGGCTTGAGCAGGTGCAGATACCCGGCAGCTCCCCGCAGCCCGGCAGCAGCAGGGCGTCTTCACACCAGCTGGACCACCCGCCGCCGCCCCCGCAGCAGCAGCAAGAGCAGCAAGAGCAGCAGCAAGATCCCCTGACGGCGGACCGGGCGCAAGCCCAGCAGCCGCCCGTCAACGCTGGCACCGCCCCCGCCACCGCCGATGCCGCTGCCGCCGCCGCTGCACAGCCCGCCGCCCCCCGCATGCGCGTCAACCCCTCGGCCTGCCCGCCCTGCGAGGGCACGGGACGGGCGCCGTGCAAGGAGTGCCAGGGCACGGGGCGGCTGAAGCGTGGCGGCTACCATAAGAACAACAGGGTAGACCTTGGCCGTGTGTTAGGTAAGGCCGGGGGGGGGGGTCAGGTACTGCCTGACAGCAACCGTGCAAGGGTTGGTGTCAAGCCTATGCAGCAGCAGCAGTAGCAGCAGCAGCAGCCGCACTATGGCAGCTGCCGGGGTAGCGCCATGCAGCTTGCCTTGCGTTCGTGCCTGCGTTCAAACCAGCCAACGTGCATATCAAACCAACCGCCGCTCTCTCCATCCCAGTTCCATACGTTGGCGGCCTGCGGCCCGAGGTGGCCCTTGGTCAACCTCCCTTCCTGCAGCCCACACACCAGCAACCTCCCAGTACACCCTCAATTCCCCAGAGCCCCCCTGAGCATGCAACCCAGCCTGACTCCAAAAAATCCTGTCCATACACACAAGCAAACACTCCCTCTTCTCAAAACCACGAACCACCAGACTCCAAGTGGACGGCCATGGAGACAACCCTGGGGTGGCGCCACTTCCGCTGCATCCAGGTCCGCAAGGCGGGCAAGAAGGCCACGTTCCTGCTGATGCAGGCCAGCTGCGACGCGACGGCCCAGCTCTGGGTGAACTCTGACAACCTCAAGGACCGCCAGAGATGGGCCGCGGGGTGAGGGGCGCGCGGGCCGCGGGCGCGGGCGCTGCTGGGTGCGGCTGGGTGCGGGCGTGTAGGGGCGTGCGTGCGTGCGTGCGTTTGGCCGAGCGTGCGTCGCGGCTACGCCGGGCGCGCAGCCCTGGTGCAGTGTGGTTGGTGCGTTGAAGCACCAGGTGCTTTCCCCTTGTTACCCCAACCCTGGATGTATCCATACACCAGACCGCGCGCCCCCTCACCACCCTCCTGCCCGCCCATTCATACAAACGCTGAAACCCAGGTGGCTGCAGATGAGCGAGATCTTTGGCCAAGGCGAGGGCGCGGTGGGGCAGGGCCAGGTCTGCCGCAGCTGCAGCGGGCTGGGGGTCAAGGTCTGCCTTGCCTGCGAGGGCTCGGGCCAGGCGCGGCTGGTCGTTCTGTAACAGGGTGCATGACTCAAAACACGCTCAAGTGAATGCGCAAGGAGAGGGAAGCTGCAGTTCGTCGGATCAATTCGACCCACGCAATTGAATACCCAATTTGCAAGTACAGAATAACCAAGGCCGGCTCCTACTTGGCAACCACCAGCGTGCAACGCAGCATGCGCCGCCAGGGGGCCGCGCAGGGGTGGCGCCTGGTGGTGTGTGTGCATGTACAAAGATCTAGCTGGCCGTGACTCAAAAGCCTGGGCATGGGTGGCACCGCCGCCAATCGTGATGATCTGTGACACCGTCCTGCGGCGCGTCACGCGGAGTAGGGGCCTGCAGGCGGCGCAGCGGGCCCGCCCTGAGGCAGCCGCCCCATCTGCATCCCGGCGCCGACGCCGTTGCGCCCCGCGCCGCCGCCCGCCAGCTGGCCGTTGCCGTTGAATGGGGGGGACGCTGGCCCGGCAGCATTCCGTGGGCCGGCCGCGGCGACCGGCAGCGCGGGCGGGGATTGGCGGCGCTGGCCCTTGCTGGCAGCGTCCAGCTGGGCCTTGATGACGGCGTACTGGCCAACCGCCTGGTGTGTTGGTTGATTATGAAAGCAATGCGACACTGGCTTGTGAAGCGTCCAGTTCACAGGCAGGCGGGTGACACACGAGATCCCCTTGAAAGGAGACGTCACCTTTGTGCGCGCGGCCGCCGGCGCCCTTGGCGCGCGTCTGCGTCCGGCTCCGACGTGTACGGCCCGCCAGCCAACCCAGGCCAGGCGCAGGCCGATTGCACCGCTCCTGTTTGAGTGTTGCAACGTCCTCACCTACGCGAGCGGCCCCCTGACCGACCCATTTGACTGCCGACACCATGATTGGCGTCGTGCCACCCACCTTGATAGCCTGGAAGGTGCCCAGCAGCATCGACAGGAGAAAGCCGCCCAGGATGTCGCTGATGTGGTGGCGGTTGTCCCACAGCCTGGAAATGCGGTACCGAACGTGTAGGGGGGGGCCACAGGTCTGTTATCAGGGGGGATTTATTAAGTCGAACACAATTCATGCAGGCAGCGGGGAAAGGGGCGCACGTGGGCCCTCAAGTGTTTGCGGACGAGGTGAAGGGATCAAGGCAATCTGGCAAGCGCCTGGCGCCACGAGATCTGGTGCCAGTCCTTGAACGCATGGGCATTTGATGGTTCAAGTGATGGTGCCCCTGTGCCATGCAAAAGCTAGGTAGTGCTGCGGGTCTGCCCGTACGGAAGCAGCGGCCAGCCACGCACCTGCTGATGCCGATGAACCACCTGCGCGCCAGCAGCGGCGCGGGCGATGGCAGCAGTGGAGGGTGCAGAGCAAGGGCCATGTCAGCAGAAAAATATCCGAGAGACATCCCTCCGTATAAAACAACAACGCTATGCCTCTGCTTCAAATCCACAATCGACCTGCTGCAGCTCGCCGCCTCCAGCAGCTGCAACCAGCGACTGCCGCCGCACAGCAGGCCAGCAGCTGCGGTCCGGCCGGCTCCCTTGTTACGCCTCCACTAACCCCCATACGCGCCCACAGATGAAGCATGAGGGTGCCCCCACCGACGCGCACCCTATCAAGAGTGAGAAGAGGATCCAAGCGTTGGCCAGCGCTATCAGCACCTCCCGCAGGGCGCGCCCCAGCCAGCGGCCCCTGTGTTCGCCGCTGATCGAGCGCACGTGGTGAGCCAGGACGGGGCTGCCCTCCCGGATGTGCAGGGACCAGATCTGGACGCGTGTGTATGGGTGTGTGGATGTATGTGTGTAGACGTGTCGTGTGTGGGGGGGAAAGCATGGATAGCAGGGATCGGTGTCTGGGACGAGGGCCCGTGATGAGGTGTGAGGCGGGAAGTTGTGGCCCCACCGACGCAGCGCCGGCAGTTGCATGCAGTGCGGCGCGGACATTGAGAAGGGTTTGCCCCTCACAACGGGCAGTTTTTAGACTTCAAACAACGGCCGCTGTTTGGCAGACCCCTGCGCCCCCTCCTACGTCGACGCGCGCATGGTCACAAAGCCCTCACAACACACACACACACACACACACACACACACACGCACACGCACACGCACACGCACACGCACACGCACACACACAAACACACACACACACGTACACGTGCGCACGCTGCTCTGCATGGGCCGCTCACGCTATACAGGCCTGAGAACCAAGCCACCGACATCGTATTGCAGGCGTGACCAGAGGGGAAGCTGCACAGGAGCGAATGGGCATGAGGGCGCACGGGCGGCAAAGGGGAGTCGATCGGGAGTGGAAGGGTCAAGTGAGTGCTTGCCCGGCGGGAGAGCGTCTGTGGTGCAGCAGCACGAGCTGACTTGCTGGTCTTTGAAAAGGGACGACCGTTCCAAGCAAAAGTGAGCAATACGCAGGAGGAAACACGGCTGCGCTCCAGCCTGTCAGAGGCTGCCGCGTGGCGGGACGAGACAGCACCCTCTGGCACATCAGTCAGAAAGTGCACCCTGCTCGCCCAGCTCGCCTGAGCCGTCCATCGTTGATGGCTTCATAGTTTGTGCTGGTGCACTGGGACGACTGCGTTGCGCAACGGCATCGGGCGGCGTGCGTTGGGAGTGCCTTGCTTGGGCCCCGCTTTATTGCCCACGGGGCCCCACAAGCTCAGCAGCAACAAACAAAGCAGGCACATGGTGGGCCCTCGTCACTTCCACTGCACAAGGCAAGCAGCAAGCAGCCGTGTGCCGGCCCCCCCGGCCCCACAGCAGCTTTGGTAGCGGCGGGCTAGCTCCCGCAATATCACGCACGCCTGCTGCAGTGCAACGGCAAAAGGCACCCCTGCGCTCACTCAGTGACCTGGCAAGCCCGATTACTCACCACCTGGAAGAGGTTGATGGTCCCCACTGACCGTGTGAAGTTCCCGCCCCCGCCCGGCTGCGAGCCCCCCAGGTCCACTGGCCGGCAGCGGTCCAAGAAGTCGGGGCGCAGCCGCCCCGCCCACGGCTTAGTCACCTGCGCGGATTTGACATCCGGGCAGGTGTCAAGTGCGCGGGAGTGCAGCGGACACTGCTTGAGGTGTCGCGATTGGCTGCATGCAATCAACTGATGTGCAGCGAAACCGCTGGGCGTCTTAAACAGCGCGTTTGTGCTGTGCTTCGATTGCACAGCATGTCGCCCGAGTCCTTCTACGGCGGCCGCGCCATTGATCCGCAAGAAAAGGGTGACGGGCCCAAACGCTTGCCTCGGACACCGCGACGATGATGAGGAAGTTGGCGAAGCAGGCCACCCCGAAATGCAGGAAGGCCGCCATGGCCGTGGTGGCGCTGTGGCGGCCGCGGAACAGGAGGCCCTCTGTGACAAACAGGGACACCAGGAACGCGAGCCACGGCCACAGGGCGGCCTGGGAGTCCGGCACCGCCACCTGTTCCACCGTGGGGTATGAGATGGTCGCGTCGTACGCCAGGGCCGGGCGGATGCGGGGGTTGTGCTGCAGCGTGTAGTGCGCGCCGCCCGACACGGCCGCGGCAATGACGATGAGGAAGATCACGCCCCAGTGCTGGGCGCGGAGGACGAGGGACCACCTGGGTGGAGGCGTGAGCAGCGGCGCGGGCGCGGGCGCGGCGGGGTGGGAATGCGGGCGCGCTGAGTGGGCGGGCGCGGGGCGGCCCATGGGCGCGGTACGCGGCCGCATGCGCCCCTGAGGGAATGCCTGACGACAGGGATCGTCATGAGCCCTGATTTTGGGTCTCAATGCATCCTACTTGATATTGCGCCAGTGCCAATCCCATGGCTGCTGCTCTCCCGCCGCGATCGCAGCAGAGGAGCGCACGGGCGCGTCCTCTGCGGCGGTTATGGTGGTTGTGGACATGATAAAACGCGAATGTGTGCGGTTTAAGCCAACAAAGGCAGGCAATACGCCGTGGATACGGCCTCAGGTTCATTGCTTCTGTCTTTTGGACTCTCGGATTTGCGAGTCATCGTGATCTAGTCCTCGGTATTTATTGCGGTTTGACCGCCTTGAAGTTCTCCGATGCGAAATTTGTCGAGCTTCACACGACATTGTATTTCCAGCACTCATGCAGCGCTGCGCAGCGCTCCTGCGCTCAGCGCGTCTGCGACTCGCACACCCACGCCAGGTCACGCAAGGCTGCAAACTCAGAGCGCTCGTCGTGTTCGGGCGCGCGGGATGGGCGGGCAAGGGCACGCTATATGCAATCATAGGAGGCCTGGCATGCGACTCGGCGATCAACATAGGCACCCCGCGGCCGGCCTCGACGTCCCCAGAGGTGCGCGGCAGCAGCAGCTGCACAAGCTTGCCGCGCCCCGCCCGGCCCCGTCCCCTTTGCTACTAATTGGGATCCCCACCTGCCCACATCGGCTGACAAGCAGCGCGGCGCATTGAAATTCAAAGCTCGCACTGTTGCGGCGCCGTCTCCTGCTCGCGTGCCGCGGCAGGGGGCGTTTGTGCTGCTTGGCCGCAGCGGGCCCAGCACCGTCGGCCTGGGGCTGCTGCTAGCGATGGCGGCGCTGCTGCTGCTGTACATCGGCTGGCGCTTCACAGAGGCCATCGCCGGGCAGGGCTATGACGCCGAATTCAGCAGCGCCAAGTGAGCGGGACCGCTTGATGTGCCGACACTGGTTTTGACTGTCGTGTCAACAACAGCTGCTGCTGGTTGGATGGTGGCGCCTGTGTGCGGCGCACGGAGCGGGCGTGCACGCATGCGGGCCCTTCCAGCAGCATGCATGCCGGCGTGTGTGCGTGCGCGGGTGTCATGAATTGGGGGCGAGAGCGGGAGTCAACCGGCAGGAGTGCGGTGCGCTGTGCGTGGGCATGCTTGCGGCAGCAGCAGCCGTATATGCCACGCAGGCAACTCTCGTGGCAGACCACTTTTTCATGGCCTGATGCCAAGCTTTCACAGGCTTCCGCTGGCTGACTTATCTGCAGGAACTTTTTCAAGTTCCGCATCAGCCCCATGGTATCAGGCCTTGTGTATTGTGAGTCGACCGCGCTGATGGTGCAGCAGCGGGAGCTTCCAGGCAGCCATGCATGCTCAAGCACGCGTGCCGACGCAGTCCTGTCTTATGAGACCCTTGCCACATGCTCTGGCTGTTGCTTGCATTCCGCCGCTTGCGACGGCTGTCCGGAAGGTTCATACCTTCCAGCGCTGTCTCGCGACCCGCGGGGCGGGGCGACCAGGTCAGTGCAAGTTGCAGGTATGAGCTTGCCCACACGCAACGCTGGTGCCGGCGTGCAGCGCGCCCTATTGCGCCCTCTTGAGTGGGCAGCCCCCCTGAACGTGCTCAACCTCCCCCCGCCCCGTGCCCTCCGCTGTGGGTCACCAGGTTCATACATGGCGTTTCTTATCAGCGCCATGCACATTGTGGTGAGGCGCCTGTGCTGCACCCCTGCCTGCTGGCAACCGCGACAGCGCCGCATTGAACAGGGACTCTGCGTGATATGCCTGCCTGGAAGTTGCTCATGAGCATTGTGTTGGCGGTCATGCATGGGCGGAGTGCCCTTGTGATATGCAAGAGCTGCTTGCTGTGTTTGGCCGATCCCTCTTCGACGCGCTCATCAGCCCGTGTGCAACGCCACTTGTCACCCGCGGTGACGCCGCCATTGTCCGCCGGTGACCGATCCCAGGCGTCTTCCAATGACGGTGAAGAGGCGGCTGGCAGGCTGGAGCAGGCCAACGCGAAGCGCGGGGAGGGCTGGCCCGGGTCTTGGCGGTTCAGCACTGCGGGGCGCGTCGGCCTCGGGTTTGTGGGCATCGCGTTCCTCATAGCCACCATCATCCAGCTCCAAGGTGCGTGAGAGCGAATATCTCAAAGGGATGCTTTCTGGGGACATCTCATGCCCTTCCTACAACTATACTTTGCGGGCCCCGCGCCGGCAGCCGTGGGCTTGCAGGGAACTGACGCCCGGGGGACCCTCGTCGTATTTCGATGCTCTGCGGCCATTTTGACGCGTCGCGTTGGCACTGGCGACGCCGACCAGGCCGGGCGCTGTTGCCTTCCACGGGGTCCGCCCCTGGGGCCAGTGGTGAAGGACAGTGCTGTTGCCGGCTGCCAGCGGGGCCGCCCGACCAGCCGCCCATTCTCACAGCCCCAGGAGACGCGATCAGAGGGCTGAGCCAAGCCGTCCCCCTTCGCGTCCCCTCCCCGCACAGGAGTGTTCTCTCGCAAGTGGCACCGCGATTACCAGCAGCCCACCAGCCGCGCTGGCCGCGTCGTGATGACGGCGGTGTTCACCCTCGGCCACATTGGGTTTGCAGGTGGGTTGGCGCCGCGGCCGTCCTCTATCAGCCGACGCACCCTGGTCAGCGCCCGCTGCTGACGCTGGCCTCGCTGCTGGCGCTGCGATGTCACCCGCCCATCAAACACACGTGCTAGGCTGCCAGGATGGTCGGCGAGGCGCTGCACGCGCCCTGCATCGGACCCAACACGCGTACCTGCAAAGCCATTTCGACGCGCGCCCCTCTCCGCTCGGCCGATGTGCGCCCTCGCACTTGCCCCCCATCATTCTGCCCCCCCCCCCCCAAAAAGGCCGCGCGGGCGCCTTCGTGTCGATGGCGGCGCTGTTTCTGAAGGATGCGGGCGGCGTCGATGATGACACCGTCTCTCATGAGAGCAGCATGGTCGCCAACGCCCTCTACCAGCTGCAGTCTGGCGGCCCCGGACTGCGCGCGATCCTGTTCTTGATCGGCGCGCTGCTGGTCGTTTACGGCGCGTTTGCGGTCGCGTCGGCCGTCGGCGGGCGCCAGTTCCCGACGCCGCCGCCGAGCCGGCGGCGGCGGCCGACGGCGGCGGAGGTGATCGCGGCGGGAGAGTCGGGGGCGGGTGCGGCCGGGGGGGCGGGGGGCAAGGAGGAGGTGCACAACGGCTGGGTTCAGCGGCTGGTGCGGCGCGCGGCGGGGTGCGGCAGCATGTGGCGGCGGGATGAGAGTGGAGACGGGCTGAAAGCAAAATCAAGCAACACGTCCACGGGCGCATCGTTGTCAGCGGCCCCTGCGGCCGTGCTCGCGGTGAGGGGTGGAAGCCCCATTGCCGCTGAGGCGGTGCCGGGGTTATCTTTCATCCGAACTGGCAGCCGGGGCGATGAGGGGGCGACGCTGGACGCAGCCGAGCGGGGGGCTGGGGCTGGGGTGCGCAGCGGATGAGGCGCTGACGTGACATTCCTAAATGTTATGTGTCTTCAATGACAAGATGCTCTTACAATGTTATGCTTCACATGGGGGGAAGGGCTGGCTGCGAGTGTGCAATTTGAGGATGGACTCTGCGCGGCTACATGCGGCGCCGCGCAGACCGGGCAGCCAAAGCTGCGTATTCGCGGAGCGTGTCTGTGACTTGTCACAGGAATTGAAGCGTTGTGTATACTACATATCTTGTTGAAAATCGCACTGTTGCGACTTTTGACGCCTGGCATTTGCCCAACCCAATCATCCTGCAAAAGCTCGCACTTAGCCTGGCCCAGTACTGGGTTTGCTGGTGACTGCTCGCGGCCACCAGTGTGGCTGCCTGTCATCCCATCAATTCACCCGCCACTGCCACCACCCCGTGACACCACGCCAACTTTGGCTCGGCAGCTTACAATGTCATTGCGTCAAGTTTGTCGTTTTCGCTCACAATTGGTCGGTCGTGATCGAGCCATTGAGTTTGTCAGCACGCCGGGCACTCACTAGCAGACTCTCACCAAAATTTCATCCCTCAAAATTGTAAAGCGCGGCGCATACGAGTGCGATCTACAGTAGTCAAGAATGCAACTGCAAACAGCAATCAAACAGGCCAACCGCCACGCGCAACCTGCACGCTCACGCCGCAGGCGCCGCTTCCTTAGCAC